CTAAGCATGTATGCCCCCCTGCTCCTCTATCGTTCATTGGGGACTGCATACAGGAAATTGAGAATGGTACATCAACTCTATATTGAGACAAGGATTCAATACACATCAGGGAGAAATTATGAGTAGATTCACACTGCTAGCCTCCGGTCGGGATTGGAGTTTTGGGGTGGATGGGGGGGGGGGGGGGGTAATGTATGTGTCAGGTCGTAAGATTCCTAGTATCCTGACGTTGGATGACACCTCCCCGAGGCCTCAGCAATTGCCAAAGTGTGGTCATCGCCCCATAACCAAAAAAGTAGAAAAAAAAGTTTTCTTTTTTTTTTAAGAAAACATTATTTATTTGAACCTTTGTGGGTCTTCGGAATACCGCTATTCGATCGACTGCTGGAAGGCGTCGATACATCTGTCTCCAGTCTGTCTCTACCTACTATCTGCCCTATTTCAGAATTATTCATGGGCGGATATAAGCGGAAAAGGATCAAACAGGTCGTTTTTCTCCTCATGAATGTACGTATATATGTATCGACGCCATGGTGCAGTCAGTGGGATACTGAAGCGGGAGCCGTCCTTCCCCTGAGCAGACCATGCGATGCGGAAAGGGCGGCGACGTCGTTCTAGACGTGATGACTGTAAGGAGGGCCGGAAAGCCTCGAACCGATGCCCCTTCGCATTATCAGACCCGTTGTGCTGTCCTGCTTGAGCCACGCAAGTATGCATGATGGTATTCTCTGTCCGGTAAAAACGAGACACGCATGAAGCGATAGCCTGCTTGTACGGGGCATGCTCTTATTTCACCAAAGTGGTAAATATGGTGCGACCACACACGCTTGATGTACGTTGTGTTATTGGTTCTAGACAACTTGGGCTGGATGTACCTCAGAGGGCGGTGTTATGAGTCTCATAATTAGTGACCAATAAACCCAGGCGACCGTCCGCTCTTAAGCCCGGCAATTTCCCCTTGAATCTCTCCTCTGAGAGGGAGCTTACTCCTCTTCCTGCTGCCTGCTAGCGAAAGCGTCTGAGGCAACCATCACTGCATCTCACCTCTACTGTTCTCAGGGCAACACTATCACACCAAAATGTCACACTGCTTGGGACAGTAAACTCATAATATCATGTTTAGAAGATTCAGCTGGGGGAAACCCGACGATACATCAGCCCAAGTCGAACCGAAGCGGACATGGAGCTTTCTTCAAAAAGGGCAAAGAAGAGACTCGACGGCAAACTCGGTAACGCAACCCCCAGATGATTGGGTGATGGATAGCGTCTCAGCATATAACTTAAGAGCGTCGCGGCTGCAAGATTGGTTGATCAAGCGCTTCAAAAGCGAAGGAGGCGAGGCGTACCTGAATCAAAAGCTGGTTTGTTTTCAGCATAATGAGATATGAGCCTTGTTTACAACTCTTGCTGATGAGAAATTTACAGCATTTAAGTTCGGACTCGTTCTTCTTTCGTGTTCCGCATCGACTTTCTGAGGTATGCCGAGATCCTAACAGTTCCAGCAAATGCAAGCAACCTACGGTAAAACGAGCTAATCTTTTATGCAGAACGATAAGCAAGAAATTGACGGCCTGAGAGAACGCCACGAGGATGATCTAGCCAGACAGAAAGCGAGGGATAGGCATTCTCCTGATCCGTGACTCGGATATCACACTCTCGGCAGAAAACGGTGGGAAAATTACCAGCAGGAATTCTTTATCACTGAGCACATATTACACAATGAAAAGATACTCCGTCCACCGAGACGTTGCGAGGGTGTGTATAGCTGCATAACATCGCTGGCTCCCAATTGGTCCGAGGCACATAATATTGAACTTCTGCATGTATACCCCTCATGGTCTGCTAGGGGTGGTGAGGCCGACATGAAGGCTGCGTCTCGAGCAGCGGTTTCTCAGAGCCTGCTCTTTGTGGAACCGGCTGGAATGGAGGACGCAGGTAGGCTGAGGTAGCTCACCCAAAATGTTCCTCAAAAGCACCACCCACCGAACAGCAAATCTCGTGCTGATTTATTGTGACCTTCAGCTTTTCTCAATATTTCACCAGTAGAGCGGTTTCCGCGTGAGCTGAAGACACATCTTACGCGCCTTTCTAATACCTGAACAACTCAGGTTTAGTCGAAACATTCTCCTGAACCACTGAGTACAGGCAAACCATGTTTCGAACTCTTCCAAACTCAACATGATGAGCCTAGACGCGCTCCCGCCAGATTTTGAGCAATCATATCGTGATTTCAGTTCTTTCCCTCTGAATCATATCGAGGCTAGGTCTTATGGACAAGGCATACTAGAGGACTACTGCAAAAGATTATCTAGTGGAAGAGAGCTACGCTTTACACAAGATCTCAACAGTATCAAGGTACCGATACGCGATGTTTCAGCTGAAGGAGTGGTCACCAAGGTCAATATTCTCGACGACGATTACTTGAAGGAGCTTCTCGGCCACTCCCCGCAAGCCCCAGTGCAACATTTGATGAACGGTACGAATACGATTTCATCACAGGATACAATTACTGCTCGAAAAGACGCAAAGTGTCGCTTCGTGTGAGTCTCCATCATGGTGCTCAACCTAACAATCTTGGCAGTCGCTTATTATCTGCTATTAGCTTTTTTATTACGGAGAGCTCAGTAGCGCCCTTGGAACTGTCGGACACAATGCTGATGCGCTTGTTGACCTATTATCAAGTCATGCCCCATTTTGTCGACTTCATATGTTTGTATGGGTCCCCTAACAGCGAGTCTGGAAATTTGCGTTTCAGTGGTTTCAGAAGCAAAAAGGTGCTGAAGAACCCGACGCCGGCGATGTGTATTCCCGTAATGGATCGTAGTGGAAGACTCTTCCAATTAAGCTATAACCTCAAAGCGGCTAGGCTCGGAGAAGTCAACAAGACCTGGATTTTCGAGCAATATGCCATCTATCATCACTTTGACGTCGGTTCCGGAGTTCAGCTGTGGATGATTGGCGATACCCATGGAGTAGCAAAGACTCTCATTGGAGATCTTCTCCACGAGAGAGGCACTCACCAGCGAAAGTTTGAAACAATCGACCAAGCACTGAAATCGTCGCTTGACGCGCACTTGGTGCTGGCAAGATGGGCTACGTCTCGATGGAGATGGACTGTGCAAGACTTTGAAAAGACAATCGACGATCTGGTAGGACGCTGCATTATTATTCCCTCGTAATCTAATCGACGACGTCTAACTTGGAAGATATAGACTCTAAAGATTGTCTATATTGAAGAGACTTTTGTTCAGAAGAATTTGACTTCAGCCACTCTAGGTCAGGTGCAAAAGTGGGAGGATAAAACAAATGAGACTGTGATGATTATGGCTTCCAATGTTAGCATTCTGAAACTATTGAGGGAGTTTTACAAAGGACTTGTCCGGGATGATGACTTTCCCAACCGAGAGCGGTGGGCTTGTCAGCAGGAAGTCAGTAACTATGCTCTACAGGTCGATGAGGTCATCGACGAGGCCGAAATGCTTGTTTCGAGGGCAAAAGTATTGGTGAAGGCTATAGCCAACAGGAAAGCATCAGTATGTATAAATCCCACTTCAAGCAAACTTATCTTTGGCACTGACATCTTTCGTCTCATAGTTGATGCAGCATCTTCAAGGACAAACTGCCGAAGTTGCTTATGACTTGAACACCAGGATGTTCGAGCAAGCTAATCAAAGCGCCACGGAAGCAGTTGCGATGCGAATCATAACGGTCGTCACCTTGATATATCTTCCGGCAACCTTTTCTAGTGTGAGTCCACCAATCATCCTCAGACCTGATCAATGTTTATGAATCATGGCAATCCCATTCAGAGCTTCGATTCATTGACAATATGAACCCAGACGTTCTTTAGCACGGACATTATCAAGTACCAAGACGGCGAAAGCTTCTCTTGGCCTGCGCTTGCTAGATTTATGCAAGTCACGTTTCCATTGATGTTTTTGACATTTTTGATCGCCGGTGGCTGGTTCTACATGGAATCGAAAAGGAGAGCCTCAGAGATTCAAAGGAAAGAAATGGGAGACAGCATAGTTGGGTAGAGCTCTTGATTTTCAAGGAATTAGATTTAGGTGGAATATCCATACAAGCACAAATTTCACATAATTAGACCGGTTGATCATTTTCTTCCTCTCATTTCTTGGAGGCAACTGAGTGCTCGCGTCAAGACGTCGATATATAAGTCACTCCACCTTACAGTAATTATTATTATGCTCAAATACAGGGAACGTGAAAAGAAGAGAGACCATTGTCATGGAACCAGATGGATCCAAATCAGCTTCATGTTAGATCTATCGCCCTCTCTAAAAACGAGAAAACAGAAAGGAGCAGCCGAAGGGACTTTAAGGAATAAAGCCCGTAATCTAGATGAGGGTGGGGTAGGCGACCAATTCGGGTGGTTGTGCTCGTAATACTTATGGACATGTGGTATGAAGACAATCGCTATGAAAGGCCATACTAAACAAGCCTGATCATGTAACCCACCTCATCTTGTCAATATGGGCAGGGGAAGTGACGCATCAGATCGCTGCAAACAGCGCACTGACTGTCGACAACATCTGACTCGCTCCATTTCTCTCCCTGAGACCCATGCCTCGTAGAACGAGCGGCAGACTAAGAATATCAATGCCGACTTTTTCGAAGAAGAGAATATAAACATAATGAAGGCCAAGGGAAAGCTCACCTGTAACTGCTGGATTAGTCTATCTGTTTTGCGTTTGTCGATTACAAACCACCTTGCCCAGAGCAGCACTCGGAGACGGGATACCTTAGTTATCGCATCCTGATGTGCCTGGGCCTTGATTAGTGGCCCGGAAGGGCTCTGCTGATAAGGGGCGGGCGTTCTTTACTAATAACTGCCGGAACACCCCCCTCCCCAATAGAACTCGGAACCATTCCTTTACACCATCACCACAGCACACACCCACCGATTCCGACAGACCTCATCTGTTCCGCGGGCCTGCGACCGCGCCCCCGGCTGCGACACTGTAAGCGAAGAGTGCAACATGGGCCCGGACGCGGACGCGACAGAGGCCGTGACGCCGCCATCGACGGCCGCGGGATCCGCATCGGTTCAGAAGCGTCCTGCCCCTGCGTCTGCATCTGCCGAAGTGCAACGGTCCAAGAGAGCCAAGTACACCCCCGTCGCCTGGTAAGGAAAGACATTCAATCCACACCGTCGGTGAGGTAACAATCGCGTCGGAACGACATTTTGCTGATAGAGGTCGACTAAAAAAGCAACGAGTGTAAGAAGCGGAAGCTCAAGTGTATTAAGGATGACCATCAGGCCGTGTGTCGGCGTTGTCTCTCCAATGGTGCTGAGTGTATCTTCATTCCCGGCCCGCAGCAGACGCCGCTGAGAGATCGCGAGGCCACCAACGAGAGAGATGAATCCATCAATCCGTATGAAGCACTCACATGGCCCAACCACCACCAGCCCGGGAGACTAACAGTCGTGACAGCTCACAATACAAGAACCTAAGCGACGAAGTGGCAACTCTGCGAGAGCAGGTTGCCAGCCTAACCTCGTCCCTTCGAGAGCTCACCGGAAAGATCACACAGATCAACACCCGGTCGCCCGCAGCCCTCGGCGGTCCGCAACATCCGAGTCCTCTGTACACGAGCGAATCCAACAGGCGGCCTAGCGAGCCGAGGGAGCCACAGTTCGTCGGCCCTACCAGGTCGGCCTTTAGCCTCCGCATCGCGGAGTCCTCGCTCTCCCGCGTCCACATCCAAACGCGCGATGCGTCGCCGACGAGCAGATCCGCATCGCCGGCTGCCTCTGCGAGGGCGGTATCCGAAACCTCAGACGGCCCTGCCTCGCGTTCGGCATCGCAAAAGGATCTGGATTGTCTCCTGACGTTCGAGGCTGATGAGGTTTTTCGGCTCCTTGATGTTTATCAGGATGACGTTGAGTCAGTGTACCCATTTACCAATATGAACGATGTCTCTGCGAACTTGCCGCATATCCTCGATTTCGTTAGAGCCCAGCAGAATCCAACGGGAGCGGCAGATTCGGCCGCTGCAGGGGACCGACCAAAGATTGAGCTCAAGGATGTACAGATTGTCAAGGTAGCGATTGCTACCTCTATAGTGATGGAAGCTCAAGGGCAGAATGCCATCAGTACGAAGCTGGTAGATGCGGTGGAGCCCATCGTGTGCCGTGTGTCTGGCGAAGCCTTCATCGATCTGAAAGAGCTCCAGATCATGACTATGCTGGTGAGTTTCGCGTATCCTGTGACCTGGTCCAGGTGGTCACCGGGGCCTTCAATCCTTTGCTAACTCAACATCAGAGTATCTACTGGTTCCACTGCGGCGAGGAGTTGCTGGCATGGAGATCGATTGGCATCTCTGGACGGGAAGTATTGGAAATCGGTCTTCATCGTCGCGCGATCCTCCTCGAGAACTTCAAGGACCCCAAAGAGAGGGACCTAGCTCTGCGGTGCTTCTGGTGTGTGTACGTACTAGACCGCCGTTGGAGCTTCGGCACGAGTCTGTCTTTCGGGCTCATTGATCGTGACATCGATCCCGAGTTGCCGGAGCCGGTGAGTTTCTCTGCTCTTTGATCAACTTCTTGGAAACAATAGTACTCACTATAGTTGATAAAGGGAGACGAGTATCCTTATCTGAGATGTATGGTTGCCTATGGCAGGCTTTGTTCGAAAGTCTGGGAGGCACTGCCGCCCTTCGAGTCACCATCGCAGTTCATCCCCAAGGATACAGTAGCGTTCCTCGACTTCATGACACTGAACTGGCTCAACTCGATACCGGAAGATTTACAGCTTCGGCATCCCAGGCTAGGACTTGCTCCCAGGGTCCAGCCCCGCAGCGTGCATCGCCTCCGTACTCTACTCTACCTGCGAGGGAACCACATGCGTACGCTCATCCACCGCCACCACGTGCTGAGCACAGCTAGTATCAAAGCAGACATGCAGAGCGCGAAGCTCGTCACCGAGATTGCTCTCGACACGATACAAGTACTTGTCCACTTGAACGAGACAAGCGACATCTATGCGCGGCAGCAGCACGCTTTCAACTACTTCTTGATGAGCGCCTTAGCGGTGATCCTCTTGGCTGTGTGTCACGCACCGGGTGTCTTTACAGAACCTTGCAAGGAGAAGTTTTTGAAAGCTGTACACCTGGTGAAGGGGTTCTCCCGCCACGGGCATGCCAGTCGGAGGCTGTGGAAGACGATTCGAGGTCTCATGCCTAGCATCAAGTCGTTGGGCCTGCGCAATGACCCTGAGAAGGGCGATATACCCCAGCCAATCGATAACGGGGAGGCAGATCCGAATGAAAGCCAAGTCAACGGATCGGAGCAGCCCAGTGGTCAAAGCGAGCGCGATGGGAGGCGGACAGAAGCCACGTGGGATGCGTATGAGGCTGGACCGCCGACAGCAAGCTCTATGCCGGACATGTTCAACATGGGCAATGATCTCATGAACCTCTTCGATGCGTTCGGGCATGCGAATTCTGGGCACCCGGCGCCTTCGGACTTCCCTGTCGGCTTCTTTGGAGGGAATGATCAGGGGATGTCACTCGGGGATCCGGAAGAGATTTCACGGCGGTTTCAGGGACTAATTTGATACACAATCACAAGAGACCTATAGGTTCCATCGATTTCCATCTATTCAAATTCCAACTCTTGATTCCCGCTTATTTTTTAAACTACAACTTCCGTGTGAACGGAAACACCAGTCACAACGTTATCAACCGCGGGTACCTCAAACTTCTTCCGCCCAAATGAGATGTAGTAGACCACGCCAAAGGTCAGCCACCCAGCCATTACAACAATCGAGTAGTTCATATTCTGCGGGGTAACAGGCATCGCCGAGGGGAAGGTGCTGAAGATGATCACCACAGTCATCCAGATCAAACTGATGACGTTCAAGATGGGGCCAACAACAGGACCGAGCTTGAAGGGGCCGAAGTCGGAACGGCTCAAGTTCTTCCTGCCGTGCACCAGCATGTAAACGATGGGGATGATATAGCTCAAGTACATTCCGATGATAGCCATGGACAGAATGGCGTTGAAGGCGGTCGTGTTGCCGAGGTAAATGAAACCGAGCAGCATCTGCAGGACCGTGACGAGAACGACGGAGTGAACGGGGATCTGCTGGCGCTTATTCACCTTGCTAAGGTAGTGATCGTACGGCGTGGCCTTGTCTCGGGCGAAAGCCCACAGCGTCCGCGAGGTGGACGTGATGCCGGCGACGGTGGCGGCCACGGCGGTGAGGATGATCATGAGGGACATGAAGGTCGCGCCGCCGTAGGACTTTGTCACGTCCATGAAGATTTGCATAAAGGGAAACCCTGTCGGGGTCGAGAGGAGGGCTTCGAGGGGACCTGTGCAGAAGAGGAGGACGGTGCCGTAGACGAGGCCCATGATGCCGTTGACGACGACGCTGCCGACCATGGCGATGGGGACGTTGCGGCTGGCGTTGGGCATTTCTTCGGCCAAGTGGCATGCGGCGTCGTAGCTATGTAGATTTGTTAGCGCTTGTACAGTGGTACAAGAGGGGGGTTAAGCGTACCCGAGGAAAGGATAGACGGCACTGATGAGTCCGACAAGCCATGAGACGCCGTCACTCTCCCAGCCGCTGGAGTTGACGAACTCCGTAAAAACGAAGGAGGCTGAATTCTTGGGCGCCATGACGCCCAGAACGATCAAGATCGAGAGGAAGCCAACGACATGGAGGACACCTAGAGCTGTTAGTGGTGGCTCCTAATTTTCGAAGCCAATAGTATGGAGTTGCTTACCGGACATGAGATTAGCAGTGGGGAGAAGTCTATGACCCCAGATGTTCATAACCATTCCATACACCAAGATCGCCCAGTAGAACAACATCCCCTGCCATCTTTGTGGGATATATGAATCATCGTTGAGGATGATAAGGGCCTGTGTCTGGAGACCGGCTGCGAAGGCTGCCGAAGAGGTCAGGACGACCTGGCCACCCACGGAAATCCATCCGGTTGTAAACGCAGCTGCGGATCGAGTCGATGGTGGGCATAGTGCGGCGACCCAATGGTATTGACCTTGAAAAGGAGAAAGTCAGTCTTGAACTTCATGCAATTGCACTTTATCGCCTTCTCGAGTTGAGAACTGGATCAAGTTTCTTCGCAACAAAGGCTTCAGCATTAAAGGGGAAATCTTACCTCCAGCAGTCGGATAAATTGAAGCGATTTCTCCGAGCGATGAGGCGATGCAAATAGTGCAAATAGTGGAAATGATGCTTTTCACGATGTTAGTCTTCCGGCTCTCGCCTAAGTGGTCTCGCCAAGAATCCCCAGTTCCTATCTCAACTTACAGGTTGTAGAACAAACAAGGTGCGCCCCCGCTAACTAAAGCTGGCGCAACGACTGTTGACAATGCCTCCCATGTTGCCATGAGACAGAGGCACAGAGCTCCTAGTGCCGGCAACGAGAATTGTCTCTTCAACTCCTGTGTGTGCCCGAGTTGGGCGAGGCGCAGGTCGTCGCCATTGACAACGTCGGTCTGGGACTGAGAGTCGATTCTTCCCAAAGTCGCGGCGGTATCTTTCTTCATGTCGTTGTCCATGATTAAACGAAACTGTGAAGTAATTTACTTTGTCGTCGTACGATCCTATTGAGTTGACCCCTGTGTATCGGGCGATTCTCGAGTTATGTACGCCATGGCTATTACATACAAAGACGGTCCCGTTTTCTCTTTGATCTTATCACCGAAAGAGTTGTCAGATCTTTCAACCAAAAACAAGCCTCAAAACCTGGCTGCAGTGCCGCGAGTTCCCCCAAAATGGAGACGATATCCTCTACCGGCGATACCGCAGCAGCTTCCTGGTCTACCTTATCTTCAGCGCAAGGTCCAATCATCAGCAATGTTATAATCAGTGACCAATCACAAGAGCTTCTAGCAAGCTTCAAGGCTGGAATCTTTAATACACTAGCTTCTGTCAATGGCTTATCTAGGCCGGGGTTGAAGATAAGAGAGCGATGGGGGCGTTGTCTTGACTCGGTGGCGTTCCGTCTTTCCGAGTCCTTTCCGCGCCATACACCTAAGAGTGTGCTCGGAAAGTCTTCCGAGGGCATTAAGAGACAAAGCGTCTCGTCTCATTTAATGGGCCAGACTTTCGACGTAACATCTATCCATCTCTATCACAGCATCGCTATCAGCAAAATCAATTGAGAGCCTCTTATAGGTGGTTCCGAAAGTTTTCTGAATTCTTCATAAAGACACAATCTTGCTCAGTCTCGACAACCACCCTGTCAACCACTTCCGGCCACACACCTCTTCAGCACCCCTCCCCTCCCTTGTTCCGACCTTCCCTACTCGACCTCCTCTCTCCCACAATGGCACCCATTCCGCACCCCTTGTCCGCCCTGTCTCCGGAAGAGACCAACCGGGCGCGAGACATTGTCCTTGCGGCACACGGCGGATCAGTTTTGGACTTCAGAGTGATTTACTTGTGGGAACCGCCAAAAGCAGATGTGACCAAGTTCCTGGAGCTCGAGCACTCTGGTAAACTTACAGCCTCCTCACCGAGACCGGCGAGATGCGCACAAGCCTTTTACGATGTCATTGGCGGCGCCAGCAAAGCCCAGTACACCGAGTCTATTGTAGACTTGGGCCTGGGAAAGATCGTTGACCAGAAGGTCATTGGTTCCGAGCACCAAGCAAGTCTGACTGTGTACGTCTAGCCCTCAAACCATCCCTACCTAGCCCCCAGATTTCCATTGAGTCCTGCAGCGCTAACATGCATATGTGGTAAGCTATGAGTTCGAGACCCTCGCCCAAGCTGTCGAGCGTTCCCCGCTCTTCAAAGAGAAGATCGCTGAGCTCCAGCTGCCAGAGGGCTTCGAGGTCGTCGTTGAGCCGTGGCCCTATGGCGCACCCGATGCCGCGGACGGGGACAGCCGCTTCTTCCAGGCCCTGATCTTCGCTCGTGACACGAGGAGCGGCAACCCGGACTCCAACTTCTACGCCTACCCCCTACCCCTCATCCCCGTCATGGATGCGCACACCAAGGAGATTGTGCGTATCGATGATCTGGCTACCGGTGGCAAGGGCGACGCCCTCCAGGGCAAGACCCATAAGCCCACCATTGTCGACCACTGCCAGGAGAGCGAGTACGTGCCTGAGCTGTTGCCCAACGGCACGCGCAAGGACCTGAAGCCCTTGACTGTCGTCCAGCCTGAGGGTCCCAGTTTCTCCATTACGGATGGCAACCTCATTGAGTGGCAGAAGTGGCGCATGCGTGTTACCTTCAACCCTCGTGAGGGTGCTGTTGTTCACGATGTCCGCTATGATGGACGCCCGGTCATGTACCGTCTTAGCATGAGTGATATGGTAAGTCACTATAACACTTATACTTGTTTATTGTCCAAGAGCTTTCACTAACACGACCCGTGTCCCAGACTGTACCTTATGCTGATCCTCGTCCACCTTTCCACCGCAAGCAAGCCTTTGACTTTGGTGATGGTGGTCTTGGTAACGCAGTCAACAACTTGACCCTTGGATGTGATTGCCTTGGTGTCATCAAGGTATGTCTCGATCTTGAATCTGTGTATCATCGCCGTCCACTGACACAAGTAACAGTACTTTGATGGTGTTCTTACCGACGCCAAGGGAAGTGCCGTTGAGACGAAGAACGTCATCTGCCTTCACGAGCAGGACAATGGTATCAACTGGAAGCACACTAACTGGCGCACCGGCCGTGCCGTTGTCACCCGCCGCCGTGAGCTCGTCATCCAGTTCATCATCACTCTCGCCAACTATGAGTACATCTTCAACTTCAAGTTCGACCAAGCAGCCGGCATCGTCGTCGAGGCCCGCGCCACGGGAATCGTCTCCGTCGTCAACATCGACCCCGGCAAGACTGCCCCCTGGGGCAACGTCGTCAGCCCCGGCGCCCTGGCGCAGAACCACCAGCACGTCTTCTGCGTGCGCATCGACCCCTCCGTCGACGGCCACGAGAACACCGTCGTGCAGGAGGAGAGTCTGCCGCTCAAGATGGACCAGCGAACAAACCCCAACGGCAACCTGTACGAGGTCAGGCAGACACCCATCACGACGTCGGCGGGCTTCGATGCCGCCCCGATGAACAACCGCGTCTTCAAGATCCAGAACCTCAGCAAGCCGAACCCCATCAGCGGCAAGCCCGTCGGATACAAGATCACGCCGCCGGCGACGCAGCTTCTGCTCGCCGACCCCAACAGCGTGCAGTCCAAGCGTGCGCTGTTCGCGCGCCACCACCTCTGGGTTACCAAGTACAAGGACCACGAGTTGTTCGCAGGTGGTCGGTACACCCTGCAGAGCAAGCTCGAAGTCGGCGGTGTCAGCGATGCTGCTGACAGAAACGAGGACGTCCTGAACCAGGATGTTGTCGTCTGGAGCGTCTTCGGCCTGACGCACAACCCTCGCATCGAGGATTGGCCCGTCATGTGAGTATCCCCCTTGATTGACAGTTATTCTGTGATTACAGACCGACTAACAATGAAATTAGGCCTGTCGAGATGTTGCAATTGCACATTACTCCCTCTGATTTCTTTACTGGAAACCCTGCGCTTGATGTGCCCTCAAACAAGGACATCGGCTCTCAGTTGACCT